GTCCTAATGTAAAAATACCTGCTGAAGGCCGACTGCTCTGATACTTCAGACTTTATTTTAGTCACGGCCCAGTTTTTTTATTTCTTCATGTGGTTTTTAAAATCATCTCCCAACCATCAGATCGTTGTCGTCCAGGAGAAACTCAGGTCGGCAACAAAACACTAGTCAATATTCATTTACTGAAAAAAACAATGTCAAACTTTAGTTTCCAAACTCAGCACAGAGCCACGAGTGTCCTGAGGACTGGTGACAGGTGTGTGTGTGTGTGTGTGTGTACAACAACTGCTGGTGGTTGTGCCTGGAGCAGATGTTGGAGATCTCTGTAAACTGTTAATAGCTGCAGGATCTCATTACATTTAACTCTTTAAATTCCAAAAAACTCCACAGGGAGACAGAGAGAAAATCAAAGTCTCAGTCATAACTTCACTCTGCTGAAAACGGCACAGCACAGATTTTCTGACATTGTTCCAATTTATATCTTAGCTGCTCGCTTTTAGCAGCTGAATGCAAAAAAAAAAAAAAGAAAAAAAAGAAAAGAAAAAAAGACTTCCTGGGGAAAGTAGAAGCACTTTTTTTTTCTGTGAACTCGGTGCAGATCCAGAAAAGCAGGTGTAAGATCTGGATCACTTTGTCCTGATGCATCAGGGTCTGTCTTTGCTCATGTTCTAATTGGTGTTGTTCTACTGACTGATACAAACTCTGGTTTCATTATTTCAACTCCAAATTCACAGCCCTTAAAATATTTAGGGATAAAATCTATTAATCCCAAATAATTGATCAAAAATATATCTTCATTATTATTACCCTGGCAACAGATGAATCTACCCACAAAACACAATCAGAGCCACACAAAGACTCTGTTCTGTTCTGTTCTAATGAATTAGATTTAAATACCACATAAAGCAGTACAACAACAAAGATAAAGAGAGCACAGCGCCACCTATAATCTATAACCTGACACTAATGCTCTCAGTGCCAAACAGTGGACTCATCAGAACTTCAAGTCAAAGCTCTACCACACATCTGCCAGTGAAGGCTGCTTTTTAATTCAGCTGACCATATCTGACCTCTGACCTCTGATCGGAGGCCTGTTCTTCACAGCCACAAAGCAACTGTTTCGTTTTCTCTGTCTGCTGAAGCACCAGAGCAGGGAAACTGACGCTGGACTCCACTCTGCTGCGCCTCTTTAAAGTTCCACTGAACCACAGCACAGTCTCGGAGTGTGCAGAGAATCTGATGACAAAACTGAGCAGAGCAGCTGTTTGATGCTGCTGCTGCTGCTGCTGCTCCACACTGTCAACACCGCACTATCACACAGCCGTCCACCCTCAGAGCACCACTCTTATTTCAACACTGCTCCCTGAGACTCTAAATATACTTTCACTTGATTTTCACCAGCATATGACGTTGATGCTGATGCTGAGCTGTATCTCCTGACCTTTGTCCACAGTGAAAAGATTCACCTTCTCTTTCCTCGCTCTGCTGCCACACATAGGAGTTTCTTTTACCCAAGAGACACAATCACACTGAGGTACTGATGGACAGGGAGCAGAACAAACGGACCGTAAAAGGTTCCTTTAGGAGGATCGGTCGACCCCTGCTCTGAGGAGACCACTTTGCATCAACTGAAGAGCTTTAGGAGGTTGTCTGAGAATTTGAAAGTTCAGAAAAGTTCTCTCACCTTAATGCCTCCCATCCTCTGCTCGCCTTTGAACTCTTTGCCGTTCTTCAGCCAGTGGATGGTCGGCGTTGGGTTTCCAGAGGCAGCGCAGCGGAACTTGGCGGTGTTTGCAGCAGGAACAGCCAGGAGCTTCTTGTCCATCCGATCTGGTCTGGTCCAGTACGGCGCTTCTATTTGGAAAAGCAGGAAACAGTTCTATTAGCTATCCTGACTCATCAGTTCTCACTGATCTGATATCAGCTCTGCGTCATTGGACACTGGTCTTCAGGGTTCTCAAAGTCAGCTGAGCTGAGGGCAACTGCCTCCACATTCAACCCAATGGGGGGAATTTTCAGCAGAAAACCCAGATATTTTAAAAGTAAAGTTCTTGACAAATATAAATATGATATAATAGTTCAGGGCAGAAACACAATTGAAAATAAATAATAAATAATAAAATGACCTAGTGGCAAAATTGAGTTATTATTGACATGGAGTCACGGGCCACTTTCAGGGGATTTGCAGGCTGAAAATGGTCCCCAGACCCCTGCTGTAAGTCAAATGTCAAGGGTCATATAGGATGTCAGGTCGAACAAGCCTTCAAGTGTTGTCTCCAGTCATTCAAGGTGAGAACCATCGTCTCAGAACATTCCACAGATCAGGTTTCTCAACCGGAGGCTTCACTGGAACGTCGCGTCTTTAAAGGTCGTCCTGTGGTTCCACTTCAGTCTAACTCCAAACAAAACTGGATCAAGTTTGATTCTCTAACCTGGTCGATTCTCTACATGCAACTGGAACTGACACTGTACGTTCTGTCCAAAGGACAAAAGGCTTCTTTAGAACAAGAACCAAGAGCGAGAAGGTCGGAGAAAGCTGTGTGAAGACACATTTTTAAATATCACGTATCATGTATCTATACATGGTGAACAGTATGAACAGGAGGGGACAAAATAACTTCAACCTAAGGTTTTTTTTCTATAACATGTCATTTTTGACATGAAACCTCTCAGCAGCTCCAGACCCCGTCAGAGCCTGAAGGAATTTTCCTCTCCATGTTTTTGTGATTGCTCAAAGATGGCACAGATGGGAGAACTTGCCCCCTCGCCCTGTTCTCAGACGTCTCCATGTTGGATGATTTAGCTACTTATGTTCCAACACAGCACAGATGTGATCCTTCATGTCACTGTCTGAAACCCGCCTCGCACACAGGAATGAAGACGTAACAAAGGCTACGTTTAATGGGAAGCGAGGGGAGCGCAGCCACGGTGGAGGAGCTTCTCCTGCGCCTGCTCTAACGCCACCCTGCTGTGTGAGGAGATACTGTGAAATCTGAAGAGTTTTAATGGTGTGAAACACAGTTTGACACTCGGTGAAAGGACGCGGAGAGTGCGAGCGGAGCCAAACTAAAGAAAAAGTATCGTCCTCTCGGCCGGACCACAATGGAGAAGTTCATCTGGATCATCAGATCCTGAGGGTCCGCAGACCTGTCACTGCAATTTATTGAGTTGTATTGAGAAGAGGACGGAGCAGAGAGTGAGAGAAGGACGAGTCAGGCTGGACTATTGTTGGACCTCGGTGTGGGTGTGGACGAGCGAGGGCAGCCATGCATGCTGGCATCGCTCTCTCTCTTTATTGTCCAACAAAAGCAGAGGAGACAGAGCCTGGTCAGACGTCTCTGTTAAAGACAGGAGCTGCAGCTGATTAGCATCTCAATGTCAGTGTGTGCGTGTGAAAGAAAATGTGTGTGTGTGTGTGTTTTGTTGGGCAATTCTCACCCGGACGCAGGCGTGTCCCCAGCCACACACACACACACAACTATTGGTGTCAGTTAACATCTTATTTTCTATTAACGCTACAAAGGTTTAGCTAATTGTGACGTAAATGTCGACATATTTTTTTTTTAAGTGAAGCTAGGTTGAGACTAGTTTAGCTTTATATAAACTTCTTATTAATTTGGTTTTACACACGTTCAGATCATTTCATCAACCTTTGCTCTCAATATCTTTTTGTTCATTTTCCCTCCTTTTTTTCTGTTTTGTTTTGCTCTTAAAGTCAATGCAGTTCCGATCTTTGACTTTGTCCTAATATTTTTGTGCAAACAACAATTTTATTGATTTTTAATTTCCATTTTTGTACTGTAAAATCTAAAATTAAAATATTTTTGGATAACCTCTCTTTGTTGTACTCTCTCTCTCTCTCTCTCTTTAGCTCTCCTCATTAAACCTTGGCTCTGAGTTCACACTAAATGAGAAACAGAGCGAGTGATGAAAGTCTTAGAAAGCAAACAAACACAAACTCTGCTTCTCTACAAACTCACAAGTCTGCGTCTGTGGGCTCTCCTCCTCACTCTCCTCCTCTCTGTCTGTGTTTTTCACCACATTTCTCCTTCATTTACTCTCTCTACTCCTCCCTCTTCTCCTCTTTTCTCTGTCTTGGCAGTGACTTCACCTCCCCTTCTGTCTTTTCTCCCTCGCTCACCTCCTTAATATCTCACCCCTCATCTCTCTGTCTCCCAGTGCGTCTCCTGTTTTAGGTTCACAGTGGGAGAGAAATCCCAGAGGAGTCTGAACACATTGTTGTCTTGGCATCTTCTCAGACACACACACACACACACACACACACACAGCCTTCTGCGTCCTGATTGGTGGTCCTGCGTCTCCTTTCTCCAACTCTCTTGCTCCTTTCTTGGCCTAGAACTCTCCGGTCCTCACTGACCCAGAACCCAACAGTTGTGAGGAACTCATCAGCAGCTGAGGACAGTGGTGTCTGCTTCATCTCTGTGGTTTGTCCTAAAACCTCACGCTGCCTTCACTGACCATTAGCTGCTAACGTCCCACCGCTGTGTGTCTGCTCAACATCACCTGTCACTTTAACGGACCGGACCAGACTCCTGCGCTCCTCCTCCTCCTCCTCCTCCTCTTTTGAGGTTTTTCTGAAACTTTCATTTCCCCTGTCAGTGTTTCTAACCTTATTTCTGGCAGCAGCAGGAAAATGGAAATAGCTGATTATGTCACTGGAGGTTTGTTCTGTCCCAAAAGGTTTTATCCCTCAAGATCTTTCTATCGTTTAGGTGGACGACTTCTAGAAATAATCCTACCCCCTCTTCAAAGTACACTTTGCTTCATAAAGAAAATCTATTAAAGCTGTGGTAGGCATTACATATATATAATATATACACATATACATGTGTATATATATATATATGTATATACATATATATATATATATATATACAAGGGCTCCTCGACTTCTGACGGCATTCCATTCCTACAACGTAACTCGATTTTCGCAGTAAGTCTGAACTCTGAACATACTGTACATCAGTATCTCTGTCACTCACCTTCTCTAACACAGTAATAACATCATAATCTAGGACATAAAAACATCAGAAGAGTCTGACTGACACCTGGGAGCCAGAATGAAGGGCAAAAAGTTCCCAAAAAAAACAACGCAAATGAAGGAAAGTGTGGAATTTGTTTAACGTCATATGTTGGAATAATGAATAGTAAGACTTTCTTAATAAATTCATGGGACATGGCATCGTAACCACAAAATGTATATATATAATAAAATACAAAAATAAAACAGTAAATGATACCTTAATATTAACTGAAATGTAACCACATATGTCTCAGATGTGGAAGACATTTTTGATCCAGACCAGCCAATCAGAGCAAACTCATCATCTGAAATATAAAATGTAAAACAACAGCTCCAGACGGAGAGGACTCCAGGACGGAGCAGAACTGTTCTGCTGCAGCAGAGACTGAGCCGACACCTGACTCCAGCCTGTTCTCTCTTCACTCAGCACACACAGGAATCCCGTGTCTAATTGACGGGATGGTATTTCCTCAGCGGACGGGGAGCAGCAGCGTTAGCATTGGCAGGCGGAGCCCGCGGAACGCGCGCAGGGGTCTTCA